TAAACATATATTTTTTTACATGTTTGTGCTAAAAACAGATAAAATTAGATGTCTTTAACAAAAACTATTGTTCGTTGAAAGACAACAAGGAAAAATGAATGAAAGAGACAATTACAATAGAGTTGAGTCCTTAGATTACTTCGCATACCAAATGCAAGTTACATTTAGAAAAACGATGAACGAAATTCATGAGACTTTGTAAAGCTTTATTATTCCTTTAAAGATGCTGTATTAATTTACGGAATTTCTCTAAAGCTTTTTAATCTAATAGGTATTTTTGAAAATCTTTCTGGATGTTCGCAGTCAAAATGGTTTTACGATACACGACTTAACAAACTGTTTGCATCAAGGAGGAAGAATCTCATTCGAAGCCATTCAAATAGCAGTAAATGCATGCCAATGAATTAGCATAGCTAAAAATACTCAGAAATACGTAGGTGCGGTTTCATACATTCTTTCCTGATCCGAAATTTTCAGTGTTTTCGTTTTTTCATTTTTAATGTCTCGTATATAGATCTAAATGCCTTCTATCTAATGAGCATATTTTAAGAAGGTTAAACCATCTTTTTGCATATAAGAAACTCAAAGAAAATCTCAATTTTATGCTAAAAGAGCTAAAAAGTGCAACTTTGTTTGCAATTTTCTCAAAATCAGTATTTTAAACGAAAAATTGAAGTTTTTTTCCGTTTTCTCCTAGACGATTCGACCAATTGGGCTTGAACTTTTTTAATAAGTGCTCCGACCAAATTGGGGTGTATGTTTTTTTCTCTTGAAAATGTTGTACCTATGAAGTTTGGTAGATTTTACAAAATTCGCATCTTTAGAAAAAAAATATTTTTTTTCATGTGTTTTTGATAATGCCTTCATTGCTTTGCTTCAACTGTGCCTCAGGAACAATATTTTTCTAAAAGAAAAAAAGACACACCCAGATTTGTTTCTAGTTGCTACAAAAAAATTTCGATCCTAAATAACGTAGTATGGATGTTTGCAGGAAGGGAAGGGGGGAACTTCAGATCATTTTTGACGCTTGGCCTCCCAACGTCTTCCTGAAGAAAGTATTTGAAAATTTAGAGTCTATGACAACTTTTATTCTACCCATCGAGATCTATCTATCCTGAAAGTTTCAAAAAATTTCGCCGAGCCATTCTTGAGAAACCTCGGAAAGGATGTGCGCGCGTGTGTGGGGTATGGGTATGGATGAAGAGAAGAAGTACACCCACACCCTTGGCTTCCACATTCACATGCTCAGAGATTCATAATTGAATAACAATAAAGATTTGTTCAAGATTTTGATTGAATTCTATTTTAAATCTTGACAGAATCTGGAAGTTTCCTGGCTGAAAGCTTCTTTCAGGAGTTTGGTCATTTTCTCATGGAAGCAGATCGAATCCTTAAACGATACTGATTAAATCTGTTAAGGATCTAACACGAAAAAATGGAAAATTTTTCCTTGAGTTATGCGGGTCTGAGCTTGGGTAAGAATGTGGGTGTGTAAACATGAATGTGGTTGAAGAGAACACTCATACCTATGCCCTCATCCACATTGATATTCATATTCATGTGCAAATATGTTTGAAGCTCAAACGGAATAAGTTAATAAGTAGCGGTTTATTGGATTATTATTACTGCACAAACAAGCTTGAACTTATTCTGTTCAGTGATAATGATCTTGCAATCGTTTTTCTTTTTCTTTTCTTCGCGAACATAGAAATGAAACACATCTTAGCGTTACATCTTTTTCGTTATGTATCAATAAATATTTAAAAAAATGAGAAAAATATTTTACAAAGTTAGAAAAATATATGTTTATTGAAATTGAATGCGTATATCTTCAAGTATGAGTTTGAGTCTGGTGATTATCCAAGAAAAAACTTATCAACTAACAATTTTTATCCATTTATCTCTTTCTTCTTATTTCTCTGCATTCATGATCTACTACATGCATCTCACAATAAACAGGAATATTATTAAAAATATTCCAATCAATATAAAATTTTTCGTGCTTGACTAGATGTATTACAATTTTGTTTCCAATTTTTAATAAAACTAAAACAGTACTATGTTCAAAAGACTTTGCCAATCATTGTCGACGGTAGTGCAGACTAAGTATTCATATAGAATAGCTAATAAGACATCATTTTCAAGTAGAAAACTTTGATTATGTATGGATGTTTATTTTATACTTTATAAAGTAAAATAAAATACCACATATTTTATGAGTAAAGAAAAACATTTTCATCAAGTTGCTGAAGATCTTTGTTTGCTAGATGACTCATTGATTAGATTTGATCAACTTTACACTACTATCATAAATAAAAATTTTCCAAGATTATATCAGAAACTTTGGAGTAGCACACAAAAAAAAACACAACTAGCTACAAATCACGGGATATGTTAAAGCCTGTTGTTTTCATCACATTTTAATTTCGAAGCTCAAATATTTTTTCAAAAACTTGTGTACATAAAATCTACTTCAAAGAAGCTGATTTTCTTGTTCATGAAATCGACAAAATGACAGTGATTTTAAATATTCAATTTGCTCATCGATGAATGTCTCTGAATGAATAATATTGATAATTAAAATAGTTTCACAAAGTCCTTTGCATGCATCAGTATTACTCATCTTGTTTTGAAGCGAACTATTGTTTCTATATGCAAATATTGATATAATAACACACAATGCATTTCATTCTGTGTTATCAACTATAAGTGCTTTTTTTTCTCCTTTCTTATTTTTTCTCCTTTCTTATTTTTTCTACATTTTACGGACAAATTACACACGCTTCGAATAAAGCTGAGAGAGGGAATCGTCTTGTTCATCATTATTACGACGTATTCATAACCAACGTCGTCGAGATGCTTGGAATACGCTTGTTGAACGTACTCAAATATTATGTACTCAATTCTTCGTTTTTTTTCCTTCTGTTGTCGATATGCCAATGTCCTAATCGAGTGTACAATGCATAGAAAGGTCCATTTCTAATGAGCGTAAATCAATTTCGGGACCATTTAGAAACTAACTATAAATTTTTGAAACATAAACCATTTTCATTGCGTTGGTTTCTCTTCCGACCTGAATATATTCAAATAGAATTGCGTAAAAATGCAATCGGCGAAAGTATTGAAAATACGGTTGGAAAATTTCAAGACAACTATTGGTACGGAAGATCGTTATATACATTCAATCAGGTCATAGAATCAGTTATTGACACATCAAACACGACACTATACATTAAATTTCCTGCAGATGAACAATCCTTCTATCAAATACGTTATCCATATTAATTTCAATTTTTTAATTTTGATACATTTCGGTGCATTGTTGAACAACTTACGCTTTCTACAACAGTACTTCAACTGTGGCTCGAAAAAATTGAACAGATTTATGATCAAAATACGGCAATATTCAACAAGGAAGTAATTAAAAAAATGTGGCATTCTAATTGGATATTGCTATAGATCCAAAAATGAATATCCTTATCTGAGATACGAATCTGAATACTATAAATCTCGCGACTATGTTCGAATATTCGATGCTTCATCTTCTTATGCTACTTATATGTCTCATGTTCTGGTTGATCTATTCATATGTATTCTATTCAAATATCTTGTACACGTCCTTCTTGCCGCCATTTCTTTTATTTGTTCACCATGGCCAATTCTGCATCCTTCTCTTCAAGAACAAATGCAAAACATAGATATTTTCTCTTCAGAGCACTTAGACAGATCCCTTTTAAATACAAGTTACGAGAATAATCATCAAGACTGTCTGTTTATAGTGTGCGACAAATATCTCATCATGTCGATCATAGGATTTTAACGAAAATTTTGAGAAGATTCTTTGACAATTTTATATCTGTACTTCACTCACTATTATTCCTATCGATACTATTAGTAACGTCAGATCAGATGGCATTGTGTGCCAAAATAATAATTATAGTCTATGTATTTATTTTTCTACACACATATATAAGATTAATTTCAATCCAGCACCTTGGTTACATAAACGATTGATAGCTCTTAATGATCAATATAAATATAAGTATGTTTGAATCGTTGCTTGAGTTGTGACGACAAAAAAAATTCGAATTACTGTGCCTTCAAACCATTCTAGTCTTACTGCTTCTCGTCATGATATGGAAGTATTATTACAAAAGCATGTGGTCATAAGTGTGGATGCGTGGAATTGGGTATAGACCTGAAAGATACGTGAGTCCATTATCACAATCATAACCACATCCACACTATACATCTATGGTGGGTTCAACATTTTCGTTTGAGTATTACAGCTCATTACAACCTGTTCATTGTATTTGAAGTCATGTTGTTTTTCTTTGTTCATAATTCATTCATAAAGAAATCAAATATTTCTCTTGGCAGCGGGGATTCATGTAGATTAATTTTACTCTTACTGACAAAGTATAGCTAACGTAAACATTGTAGAACGTAGAATAATCTAAATATCGTCTAATAATTGTACGAATTTACAGAATTCTTTTAAACATATTTCTCGAGGATATTTGAATTTGGATTAAAGAAAAAAAATAATAATAATTCAATAAATATTTTTGAATATATCACATAGGAAATAAAAATGTCAGCATGTGTCATTTTAATTTCTTTGCTTCGAAAACAAACAATTCGTGAAGCGGAAATAACGAAATTGGAAAAAATGTATTAAAAAAGAAAACGAAAAAAATATTTGCTATGTAAATAATCACTTATATAGTGCATTTAGTCACCGTGAAATTGCTACTTAAGTCAAGCAAACATATTCTTTTTTTGTTGACAATCATACTATTTCTCTATATACAGTATAGAAAAACTTAACGTTAATTTCATTTAACTCATATCTTTTATGAGCAATGATTAGTCTGACTTGCTGCTATATATTTGTACTATTACTCATGGTAATCTTAACTTCTCTATCGGATTCAAATCTGTCTGAATTACACCGGATAAAATTGAGATTCGATGGTGTGAAAATAGTCGACAAAAAAATGAAAAGTTTTAATTTAACTGAAGCACGACAAGTACTTTGTCCAATGGTTGGTTATCAAAATGCTCATTATTGTCCAGATGTAAATGAAACTACTAGTGAAAAAAGTAAAGGACGAAGTACACCTCTTCCACCTCTTTTACTACCACGAGGAGTAGGGATGACTATTGACATAAGTACCGGTAAGATAACATTACCTGCTCTTGAATTAACTTATACTGATGGAACTGAGAAGTTATGGACTGATTCATATTCAAAGCAATCTTTTATTGTTCCAAATGAAGTTCTATTAACAAATGTATCTACAGATGAAAATAAACCAAAAGTAAGTATATTCAAGACAGAAGTTGATTTAGTAAATGTCTGGACTCGAAATGCTGATGGCGGATACTGGACAGGTGGAGAATTTGGACTTGCAAAAACTGCATTAAATGTTTACACTGATTTTTTTACTGAAAATCAAGCAACATCAATATCACAAAATCCATTTAGTTTATATATATTGACTATGATATCTGCTAATTCTCCATCATCTTTAGTATTAAATAAATATGCAAAAGCTGCTATTGATGCTCTACCACAAGATTATGATGAAGAAATCTATAAATCATTTATGGATATATGGGGAACACATATAGCTGTTTCGACTAAAATTGGTGGCATGAAAGAACAGCAAGCAACACTAAAAAATTGTATTTGGTCATCACCATACTTTACTGGTGGTATATCAATAGATGAAATTAAAATATATTTAACAGAAGATCTATTATCACAAACACCATGTGACAGTTATTATTCATCAAGACGAAAATTAGCTATTGATCATCTTGTTGGAGGTAATATTGAAATTCAGGATATAGAATTATGGAAACAAACAATTGCTCTTGATCCAGCTTTATTAAAAGTATTAAAATATATACCATGGTATGATGTTATCTCAGATATAAATATTAAAAAAAATTTACGAAAAGCAATGACAACACGTATTAATGCATCGAATATTGCTCGTATGTCTGAAGTAGATCAGATTACTGCTCAAAGAACAAGTTTATTGGAAAGATCGGCACAATACGGAGTTCGAACTAATTATTATGGTTCTGATAAACCAGCATATGAAATAGGTGATAAAATAACCTTAAGAGATATACGTCAATGTCCAGATGGATTATCAAGAATAGATTTAGAGAAATATTGTAATACAGGTAAAAATGTAACTGCATGCTCATTAGCATATGCTAATTTCGAATGGACGACAACATGGGATGTGCCATTATGCTATGAACGAAATAGAACAACGGGTAGTTTTCGGGCTGTAGCACGTCGTATTGCCGGCGAAATATTATCTGAATCAGAAGGAAAATTTCGTAGTAAGTTAAGCTCATACAATTTTCAGCTTTTATATCAGTACCTTTGACTTATCTCTTTATAGATTATGATATTAATGGTCCATGGATTGAGTCTGGTTGTTCATGGCTGAAAATACCATGTAAAGGAGATGGTCGTGGTATTACAGATGCTTTTATATGTGCTGGATGTATACCAACAACTGACAGAGAAAAAAAATTTTTTTCCTGCTCATGTCCAGCATATGAAATGGATGAGAGATTGCGGCCTTATTGCAAATAAATTAAAATTTGTAAAACTGAATTCATAAGAATGTTTTTTTTTCAATCAAGAACTTAAAAGATGAAAAAACTAAACTATAAATATACTCACACATATACACACATGCTGCTAATCAAGATTGGCTTAGTACTTTGAATGTTGCAAATATAGACAAAAATTAAGGAGAAAATAGAAGCTTCGTTATCAAGATTTCATTTCGAATAAAGAGATCATAAAATGCCTGAATTTGGTTGATTTAATGACATCCATTTATGTTACAATCCAAAATTTTGAGAATATTGATAGATTTATAATTAATACTACATCTATTTGATGTAGCTAAATTCTTTTATATTTATTTTATCTATTAGTTATATTTCGATGCTGTTAACAAACTACAGTATAATCGTCAGACTAATATTTTTTTTAAAATCATTAGAGAAATCATTTAGTTAATATCAATCAACAATTAGTATTATTTATGTGATTGACATTGCTTACAACGTATAAACTATTACCTTAAGCAACATTTAGAGAGAACAAATTATATACATGTATAACGATGTTGTAAAAAAAAAGCCTGCATCAAATGAATCATTAGTAAAAATAATTTGCTATGAATAGTTTTGTTTTTTGTGAGTCAGTTCCGTTTTTTCTCGATTCACTAAAAAAAATTTTATTAATCATGAATATGAATTTGTTTATTGCAATAGAAAATGTATGCTTGATTGATTGACAAATAAAAACAGTATAACAAGTACGTTCTATATTTTTGTATTATTTACTTTCGAGTTTGAATGTAAATTTTCTATCGTGCGATAACCTGTGCGGATTTTCGTAAAGAAATTAAAATAACAACTGCACGAAATTAACAAGTTGAATATGATTAGTTATTACTGAAATAAGAAGAACATTTGTTTTTTTTTATTACTATTGAATATAGAAATTTTCTAATAAAAATCTCTCCGAACAATACTATTGCGTGTATATTGCGTCATTATGTTTTTTCTTCCTTTCAGTTGATAAATACATTCAACTCACTTTAGGATCATTAATAAAAGACGTTCAGACATTTACTATGAATATTTTTCTTTTTATGGAACTCACATTATATTTTTCTTCGAAAAATATAGTGAGTGTAAATTTGAAGTCGAGATTTTGCGCCTCTTCTTACTTCCTAAACACTTTAGAAACCCAAGTCAAAAGTCGTTAGGCATTATTGTCAGCAATTGCAGAATGCTTACCAAACAGAATTATGCTTTATGTGCCATATACTATGGATAAGTCTACAAAATTCTAGATTCTGCTTGGTAGGCATTCTACAGGCCTTCATTATTCCATAGTAACCGAAGATAATAGGCTTCAGACTTCTTTCTCGAAGTTTCCTAGCAACAAAAAAGAAATGCTGAACAGCTTTAATAACATGACTTATAATGTTTCAAAGCCTTCATCGAAATTTAAAGGTTATAAATAGTGCTGTTTCTGATTTTTGTGCAGATAAAAAATTAATATTCAATATGTCAAGGATGATGAGTAGTGATTAGAGATGTACGAAACTAGGACCAAAAAAGTTTGGTTCCACACATCTCTCTAATAGTGATGCATTTATTTGCTACAGTTGTCATATGATCAACATAAAAAGCATGAATTGATCAAGTTATAACTTTGGAAAATAATCAATGTCAATGTCAATATTTGCAAGCTTATCGAGACATATAATAGAGCGTTGAGACCTACTGTAGATAAAATGAATATATACACTAAAGTTATTTTGCAAGTCGACCTATTGATTAGAAACAATAATAATGTTACATGAAGAAAAACGGAATACGACAAAGATAAATAACGAGCAAATAGCCACAAGACAAATAAAATATAGAGTACTAGTAGAAAAAATCCTGTTTGAAATGCAGAAATAAATAAGACAGATCATTCGCCTAGCGACCGATTATCCTTGGAAAATAATTATAGTTTACTAGAGATTTTACACTTTACATATTTTGTAGTAATATAATCAAGCTAATGAGAACGTGTAAATTCTACATTTTATCTCTAAAAGCGCTGCGCTAACAAGTTTTTTTTTTCACATAACTTTCGACAAAATTTTCAAGAGCATTTTTAAATAGAAAATGAATTGAATCAACCAATTGAATTGATTGAAGGCTATGCTACAGAAACAAATTGTTATTTTCTCGAGCAGTAATATAAACATTGTTATTTTTGATATATTTATTTTAAGGTACCTTCCATCCTTTTCGGAATTTCTAGCGAGCGGCTTATCAGAAAAATTTGAAACTTTCAGGACAACTAGACCTTGACGAGTAGAACAAAAGTTGTCATAGGCTCAAAATTCCGAGATGCTGTCTTCTATGAAATGCTGTGATCACGATGGTGAAAAATAGTTCCATCGTTTCTCCGAGATGCTATGCTCACATGAGTTGAAACTTTTTTTAGGCACTAGGTATTGTTTAGAGTGTGTACTATTTTTTTTTGTTCTTCGAATCAAAAAAAAAAAGTCAAAATATCGAAGGTACCTTAAAAATACATGTTTTTCTCCATAGAACTTTTCTTTGTAAGAATTACCAAAAAACAGCAGAGTAATATTTTTCGAAATAAAACACGATGCCAATTCCAAACAGTACATGATTAGGATAATATTCTTATTCATTTAATATTTTGCTTATAGATTTGCATCATCTATTTCAGATGTAAATCTAAATACAAAATTATTAAATCATTTTGATTTGTCATTGAAAAAATCAAACAATGCTACTTTAACTATCGATACAAAGTAAGTAATGTCTCTTGAAATAGTTGACATGTTTGAGAACTTTCAGTTTAAAATATACATTAGAAGATGCAAAGCTCACTGAAGCATGACCGTAGTCGTATCAAACATACTTTATTGATGAAAATATCCGTCGAATAAAGAATCACAGAGAAGAAATTCTTTTGAGCATTGTGAACAATAGAACACTTCACTAGAAAGAGTTGTAGAAAACATTGTGGATTACATTTCAAATGAAGGGATATTTTACACAATGCCTGTACAGTGAGATACACAAGAGACAAAATGAAGACAAACTATCTCTCGTTCAGGACAATGGAAATATGGCAAACGAAAAAAATATGAATTATTAAATATTTATTTGAGTAAATTCCCACATGATATTACTTACATGATAAATTTGAAATAAGTCAATAGTAGAGATCAAAATAGGATGAATCCATAGGAAGCAGGCCACATTTCTGGAAAAAATATTTTTTCCAATTTTTTTTCAGCTGATTAGCTAGCACGTGGTTAGAAAATATCTTTGACTAAAAAAGTTGGGGACTTGAATGTGACCATGTAGGAGATTCAGATCATTGTTTAGGAATATCTCAATATTCTTATGCATACTCAATCATAAAAGCTAGAAGGCTTCCGAAAATTTTCCACATAGCCTATTTTGTAGAGTACTTCACGCTGATCATTTCGCTAAACAAATTTTTCATTTTTCATCGAAAAATAACGAAGCTAGAGTCAAAATACTACAAAGGACTGAATTGAACTAGTACTCTAGAGATTATTATAGCGTCTCTAATGTGCTAGTTCAATTCAGTTCTTTGTAGTATTTTGACTCTAGATTCGTTATTTTTCGATGAAAAATGGAAAAATTTGTTTAGCGAAATGATCAGCATGAAGTGCTCTATAAAATAGACTATGTGGAAAGTTTTTGGAGGCCTTCTTACTTTTACGATTGGGTATGCATGAGAATATTGAGATCTTCCTAAACAATGATCTGAATCTTCCACATTGTCACATCCAAATTCCATCTTTTTTGATCAGAGATATTTTCTGATCACGTACTAGCTAATGAACTGAAAAAAAATTTGCAAAAAAAAAATGTTTTCCGAAAATATGAGACATTTCCCATGGATTCGTTCAATAATTAGCAATTAAAAACTACTCCGTGACATTTGGATCTCTCTCTCTCTTTATACATGTATGTCACATGTATTATTCGAATTTTAGTTAGATCAATGTATACTAATCGTTTCTGACAGAAGTTTATTAGATTGCCTCGGACGTATAAATGAGTTGACTGCAACATCAACAGAAAGATTTCGAGTAATAGAATATATATTTGAGAATTCCGAAAATTTTGAAAGAACTGGAATCTATAATGTCATAATTCATTTGATAGTATCACGATGATGTGTATTCTCTTGTCCTGGAGTAATCACATTATTGAACGCGAAAAATTTTCGCTTCACATACAGGAAAATCTTCACTAATACTGGTGTTATTAATCGAAATCCTAGATTAAGACCACTCACGAGTCCAGTTAATTTTGTTATACTACTAACACTGTACTGTTCTACATATTGATATTGACAATAGCTAGGTTGACATTGTTTATAATACTGATCATAGTCAGTCAGTGAATTCCACTCTTCAATAAATAAATCTTTCAGCATCTCTTCAATGGATGTTTTAGGCGAATATCGACTTAATTTTGATATGTTTAACGGTGTTACATTTAATGAAAATTGATTATAATCAATATATGATTGAATTTGATCTAGACACGTTCGATTATAAAAACATTCCAGTGTTGATTGAATTAATGCTTGACTAGATAAACAACCAACGTAAAAACCAGGTATTGTCAACAGAATCGTTCCATTCTTGTTATATATTGTTGATAGTTTACTACAGTTTGATGATGTACCACAATTACAATTATCAAAGTGACGAGGAATAGCAAAAAGATAAGTAGATATGCTCAATCCCGTACCTGTTTGATTCACTTGATAGAACCAATTTGTTTCATAGTCTGATTATAAGGCATCTGCTTGAATTAGACCAGTAATTAATTCGATTTCTCTTAACATTTTTTAATGGTATTTGTAATCGAAATTTTTCGACAATCGAATGAAGTTCTGTTTTCAATGATAGTCGAGACATTGCTTGACTATTGATAAAAGTTTGTTGTTGAAATTCAGTAATAGCATCTTGAACAATCTCTTGCGAAAGTTGACATAATTGAGAAAGAAAATAAAATTGTGATATTGACAGAGTTCGAAAATCTAACTGATCATAATTTGACATTTGATGATTGTCTGAATCGAAGTGTAAACCTGAGAAAAGATATGGATTTGAATAGTTTCTATCACCTATAAGATATTGAATCCATTGTGTCGAAGTAAAATCACTTGAACAAACCTCATGATAACTACTATTTATCTGTGTAAATTCAGTATATTGTATTGATATTCGAGTACACGGACAATAGAGTTGTTTATGTTGTTCTAATAAGTATTCGTATTGTTTCAATGTTGGTTTTGAAACAGTAACAATCATCGTTTGTTCAATAACAAATGTGTAGATAATGAGAATAAGTGATGTCAATGAAAATAGAAATAAATAACAACGAGTTATCCATCGTTCATTTTGCTCATTCGAACGATCTTCACCCTTGAATAGATTCAGTTTAAGAAACCAATTGACAAGATTTAATCGAAGACGTGTCACAACTGTTGGTTTTTGTTCTAAATAAAATTAAGAAATGTTTCAAATGCGAATCGATCAAGAAATGAGCATAGACAGAAACGATTAACTGAACAAAAATTTATATTTGGACTGCAGTCATTGTGGGAAAGACGAATTTTTCTCTCATGCATTGTATATATATTTGACAAGTTTGCTGATGAATTCTCGATTGTTCAACGTGAAACTTTTCCAACGAATAAGTAGAGTTCATTCGACGAACAACTATATTTCCTAACATTCTTATATATCTTCTAGTAAATCATGTTTGAAAATTTGTATAAAATATACGAGACGTAGGAAACAATTAGAGCAGCCGTGGCTAAGTCAGTCCAATCTAATATATGAGCCGAAAATTTCGGAGAAAAAAATCATGGAGAAGAGTGGACCATTAGTTTTTTACGATGAACGTTCATAAATTATGAGCTTTAGCATTTAGGTGAAAACTCATTCGTAGATTGGCTTTCGAGCAAAAAGCAAAATATCTTGACTTATTTCTTGTTTGGATTCGGTGCGAATTAGAGCTTTTTCATAAAGTCGAAATCTATTCTTTTATATGCTCAGTTTTTTTTTCGAAAATAGAGAGTAAGTCATCAAAAATAAGACAAATCAATTAATAGAAGTAACTAAATTTGTGTCATTCTGGATGAAGAAGCACTGCAATATGTTCGCTACTCATAAGGAACATTTCTAGGTGTCAGAGCTCTTTTCACTCGAGACTTTGTCAACTATGGATATCAAAGTATTCATGCTTATGGCCTGGCCTATTTCTGAGTAGATTGAATATTTCGGGTCTATTTCCATCAAAACAAAAACATTTTGAAAACAATTTTTTTTCTCATAATGCTTAGAACTGAAGCTGAAGATACTCTGCAAATTTCATCAAAATCGGAGATAATTTTTGTACAATGTGGTTAAGATATCTTGGAAATATGCAATTATAAAATTAATAATATTCAATCTTCTCAGAAATGGATAATAAATACAAACCATCTTTATGATAGCCATAATTCACCAAGATCTACAAGATGTAGTAAGTCCAGACTTAACAAATGCTTCAGTACCTGAGAATATTCCTTATCAGTCCAGCCCATTTGAAGCTCTAATAGATAGCTCATCGAGCATAGTTTTCGTATGCGAACATAACGTAAAGAGACAGATAAGTAGGTATCTCAATTGTTGAAATTTAACAGCCATTCTAGTCAAAACTCATACTTTGATACTTGCAATATTTTAATTTCTCTGTTCGAAATTTGAATACTTTCTATATCCTACCTCTATCATTGGTGGAGTGAATCTCACTAGTTTCTACGAATCCTCTCTTAGTTTTTTTATGTTTTATGAAGATTCTAGTCGTCTCTTTTGTTCATTATTGTTAATAATAACATGCTAAGATAATTTAAAAAAGCAAACTCAGTTTCATTCTGTATTATAGTAGTAAATCAATATACAACTGCCAACGACAAATAATGATATAGCTATCGAGGATTGATAAAACTTACCATTACTATCTATGTATGGAGTTGGTATCGCATCTATTGTTTGTCGTCTTGTTAATTTCTTCATAATCCATTCGTTTATCGTGGATGAGCATTTAACTAGAAAAGGACAAATGAATCTCAATACCAAGATTAGACCGCCAAATAGTGAAATAAGCATTGACATCATGTAGAGAACATTATACCGTTCACTGTAGGTATAAGTACATTGAATAGGATTACATTGTTCAAAATAGTTCGAATAATTCGATGAATCATGCCACTGTTCGATCATGAGATGTTTCATAATCATTTCTAATGTAGCATTTGGAAAGAATAAACTCGACAGAGATAAATTTAATGGCGATGGTTTATCGACACCTTCCGCTGTTCCGATAACAATTTCGATACAAGAACTATTGAAAAAGCATGATAAATTGGATAATAAGAATGTTTCAAGGAGATAACAACCAATAGGCATTATGTAGCCCCTTTGACGATAATCTATCCAATGATGACATTTTAAGTCCATGACACAACTACATGATTGATTGCCTGTTCTTTTAATTGTTGCTGTTGGTCGCACATTAATAAGTGAACCCGTATAATAAAGGTACATCGCAAAGTTCGCTGAATTCCATGCATTGGCTGGCGTTGCCAATGCATTGACATTGGTAGTTAATCGTATGAGTTGTAATGTTTGCCAGAATTGATTGATAGTATCGATTTTAAACTGTTGAATGAGTAAAGCAATTCGCAATTGAAACAATTGCTGAAATAAAGTTTCGGCCGAAATAAATTGAGTATGATAAAATAACTCAAGAGCATCATTGATAGTTTGCATTGACAAATCACAAAATACTGATAAGAGAAATAATTCTGCGTCGATCTCTGTTTTGGACACGAAGTTCGAAATATGTTGAAGCAATTCTTTCGATACAAATTGACTCTGACATATTTGATGATAAGTCGGTTGGATAGTAATAAAATATTCATATTGAATTGCCAATTGCGTGCAAGGACAATGAAGAGATGATGGATATTGAAGTTGTAATTGTTCGAATTGAACTAGTGATGGCATTTCAATGCTACCAATTTTTGTCTGTGGAATAAACAAAGAATATGACAACAGAACACATGATGAAATAAGCAATAGAATTAAATAGAGTCGAGTAGTTTTTAGCTCTCTTGATTCTTCACTCTCATTACCGCTTTTGAATAAATTCAAGTGAATTACATTTTTGATTAACCATAAACGAAGACGCTCACGTAATGACACTGCCGATGATGTTATGACATTTTCAACTAAAATATTATGCAAACAATGAATTCAGTCGTGTAGCCAGTGGTAGGTTCATTAGGCAACTGCTTGCAAATTTAAAAGTTATTGTTCAAAAATTTTTATGAAATGGGGATAAGTTTCGGTAGATGCTCACTACTCATAAATTTCTAACTACGCCACTGAATATATTGTACGTTAAAAGAATGAGGATGATATTTTACCGGATTGTGTTTGATTTCTTGATCTTTTTCTTATTTGATCATGAAAAAATTGGATCATTTTGGGCACATATCTGACAAGTAACGGGCAAAGACTTCTTAATACTTTAATGAGACCACCAAGGCATGCAATAATCGTGATAATGACATAAAGGATATCATGACGTGTCGTATATAAATAAGTACATTGCACCGAGTTGCATTGTTCGAAATAGGCGGAATAATTTGTGAAATTACGCAATTCTTCTAACATCAAATGATGTATCATGGATTCCACTGTTGTATTTATTGAATATTGACTGATTTTCGATGCATTCATTGCCTGAAAAATGTGATTAGATGGTGACGAAGAGATTATGCCATCTTGAATTTGATCGTGAATACAGGATTGATTATAGAGACATACCAAGGATGATTTCAACAATGCCTCGACAATTAAACAGTGCATATAAAATCCATCAATTGTCAAACTGCTGCCCTGCCCTAATTCACAATTTCCCATGCTTATACACGGGCAAAGAGAATCATTTTGACCTGAATATGCGCGTCCACCGTAGCTGATCGAACCAAAGCCGTTCGAACCATAACCATAAATGTATAACATATAATTCGTTTGTAGTGCACTCATAATTTGATTTTTCGAAGTTATATTTCTCATTAATATATAAGTTCGTAGGAATTGATTTGAAATTGTTTGCTGAAACAGTTGAAGAGATGATTGAGATTGTATGTCAAATAACTTCCGTGATATCAATTCCGTGCTAATAAATTGAGTCTGCCGAAAGGAATTTATTGCATCTTGTACGGTTTTTTGCGAAATTTGACAAAATATTCGTAATGCTTGGAAATGGTTACCTATCCATCGACGATAATCATTCGAATTTTTGTATATAGTATTCATATTATCGTTGAACAAATAATCGATCCATTCGAGAGAAACAAACGAACTTTGGCAAATTTGATGATATGTTGGTTCAACAGTGATAAATTTTAAGAACTCAATTGAAATTTGTTTACATGGACAGCGAAGAGTTGAAGGATAGTGATATTGTAATTGTTCGTATTGAGTCAATGATGTTAGTTGAACACTGACAGATCTTGTTCTCGGACTGAATGCCGTGTATATGACTAGGATAGTAAGAATACCTGTTAACAACAATAAATAAAGACGAGTAGTCCTGCATTCTGTAACTTGATGCTCGATTCGCCCACTTTTAAAGAAGTTTAGTGAGATTAAACTTTGTGTTAATCGTAGGTAAAATAAACGATAAAGAATATCTATGATTGACATGTTTGTCTCACTCATACAGAATCGCTAAGAGAATATTCTTGCCTCCGTGTATGCCCGTTATGAAAAGAATCAACTCATGCCAATAGTAACGCTGACAAAGAATTTAATTAAATGTGTTTCTTAATCATCCACATTAGAGTTATTTTTTGAAATGTAAAATAAGGCACCATAGAAAAAGCTATATGAATTAATAAGTTTCTCGTTGCTATAATATGAGTGTATGAGAAAGAGCAGTTTCGTGCTGTAAAATAATGATGTTGAGCGTCGCAGTTGCTAGGCGCAGTCGATGTTTGACTGCTTTTTCTTTATCAAACGACATTCTTCTACGATGCTTTCTTCTTGATTACAACCGCTAGAAAATATTCTGAACGACAAAGAAGAATTTTGCAGAATTTTTTTACGAGTTATGTCATCGCGTAAAACGTTGAGTTTCAACATGGTTCTGTTCTTTTGTTCTTCTTTTTTCATCTTTTTGCGACTACAAACTCATGTAACCATGTTTAGATTTTAAACACATCTGTGAGTGTCTATAACTTATGCAATTTGACGAGTTGGAACGCATCCAAAATGCAATATTTTCGTGGGTCTGAACATGTTTATAGCTAACCAGCGCATCTTTGCTTGTTCCAATTCTAACAGCATCACAATCGACTGACATCAACAGAAGTGTTTGATTGCGTTCTAAGTGCAACATTTTCCGGCGTTTGAACGCATTCAAAAACCAAAATGCGCGTAAACTTGTCTATGTTGGAGGCGGATTACAATGTGTCTTCGGGTTTTGCTGCGTTTCGATGGAGTTATGAGATGAATTCGTTTTGACGTATTTACTTATCTCCGAAAAAAAAAGAATTAAAAATAATCATCGCTCTGTGTCAGAATTGAACCGACTCATCGAAGCGAGCTATGATGTAACGCCTAAATCCTGCGAGCAACAGAGTGATACTTTTCCATTGACAATTTGAACTAAGATTTGAACACATGACAGGTCGATTACAAACCGAACACAGCTAGCACTGAGCTATACACAACTCGAACTTGTTTCTATGTTCATTAATCGCATCATTCGTTCATATAACATTACTTCTTACATCTTTGCGAATAGAACTGTTAATTTATTTTATTTTTACTCTACGAAATAAATATAAATAATATATTTATCGAGAAAAAAATCAAGATAAATATATTATTGATATTTATTAAAAAATGAAAATAAAGAAATAAAAAGTTTTAATATTTAAAAAAAATAAAAATCACAAAAAACTATCTCGCTCTATAATAAACAAATTTATAAATATATGGTATAAAAAGATCAATTAACTTTTTTTTCTTATTACTAACATCTTATAATAACTAATGTCCTTAAAAATTGAGGGCACTACAAGAGAAATATTTGCAAAAAATTCTTGTCTATGTACTTTTTTGTAATATGACATCGAAATTTTTTGAGATATCTGGAAAAAAATAAAATACTAGGTTTTCATTTAAAAAGACTCCTTTTTTATTTAACTTTTTTCATTTTTTAACTAATAAAATTTTTTTATTGTATTTATCTTTATTGTATCAATGTAAAAGTTTTAGTTCGATGTATTCTGTGTTATAAATAACAATAAAGATAAACCAACGAGTCTGTTTGAAAAAGTGCTTGTAAAATTCAGATAAAATGAAATAGTTGAGAATAAAAGTAACATATTGATAGAATTTATTCGTTTGCCTAGGTAAGAGATGATGACATTTATAACAAAAGATTTAAGATCATAAACTACCGCGTGCGCAGCCAGAAACTTTTTAGAAGTAACGTAAAACGAGGCATACAGTTTTGTTAATATTTTAATATTTTCAGCAAGAAATGTGTAAATAACAGTCAATTATGATAGAATTAATCATTTATTATAATGAATCTATTAAATCAAATTCAACTTGGTTAAATTGTAATGATAGAGATACAATCTCAATGCTAGAATCCGGTTCGATTTCAAGAACATGCTGATGATTAGTTTTTGACTTTGAGAATAAAGTAAACGCATTCACATCACATAACAGTATCGTAAGGTAGAAAAGCCAGAAAGCGCATATTAGTCTGTTTTCAGCATGGACGAGTTTACACGCGTTTTGGTTTCTCAGCGAGTTCACATACCTGGAAGTATTCCATGTTAGACGCATTCAAACACGTCTATTGATATAAATCAGTTGTGATGCTGTTAGAATTAGAGCGACGGAAGATGCTTCTATTCACTCCAAACGTGTCCAGAGCCCGAAAATATTGCATTTTGGATACTTTCAAATGCGTCGAGTTGCAT